TCATGTAGGATTGACGTGTTTCCTTTTCAAAGTCCAGTTGTCCACACCTCAACAATTTCCCTTTTTATCTAACCTTCACCATCTTCAAGGAAACCTTTTCATCCCATTCGAAGAAAAAAAAATCTCATTCTTCCTTTTTGTAGCAGAGCTTATGATGTAGCATGGGAAAGAACCTAAAAGGTAAATTCCTAAAATTGACACCATGCCTTTACATAGGCCAATAAAAGTTCCTATTTGTAGTATGACAACTAACGTAAGCTCAAGACTAAGCAACCTAAACATAGCCCTCAAGAAATCCCAGTTCAAAACAAGACATAAAATATCAGTCCTACCACAATATAAGATATCACAAAGACCGATTTTGAAATTTCAAAAGCACTAAGTAATAAATAAGCCATCAACTCAGACTACAAATAACAAATTAACTCAATGAACATAATCATTATCCACTCATGCCGCATTAGTTTGGCGCCCTTAGATCTATAACTTTCTCTTTGGTTGTACTCTTCAGAGACTTAAACTGAGAAACAGAACTGAGTGCCTCGCATTTTACTTTTGGGCCTCTTTAGACATATTCCATCTCTTTCTGTGATCATATGTGACTATTTGACAGTGTCTGGTTCAATTAGTTTAAGCTATGAGATGGATGTGTATTCAAACCAGACTATGAAACTAACTTTGCCCAAATCTAACCTTACTGGTCATTCTATCTGCTCAACAAATTGGATAGGTTTAACCAACCAGATATGCATCAATATCATATATGTGACGCTACTCACTCTTTCATATCCCATTTTTTCTTTTCCTTTATGGATTTCAAACAATTTATTCTTCACTCTGACTCTTCTCTCTGCATTAAATCCTTACGCATCAAAGAACATTTTTTTTCCTCTCCCTTTTTCATATTTTCAGACATCTTTTCCCTCCTTGGCAAACCACAATCTCTCCCTTCAGTTCAGGCAAGCAAAATTCACCAAATGAACATGCCATGCTGACAACTAAGTCAAATTGGTTCTTAAAATTTTTCATCCTGCATCAGAGTTGGCCAGGTAAATAATATTGAAGGAAGAGGACAGAAGTCGAAAGAAAGGGATAATAGAAAGTATTAGGATTCATAACCTCATTAAGGATCATAACATCTCTCCTTCATCTATTAACCTTATAAAGGATAGTTATTAAAGAATCCTGAAAATCTACCTCCTTTAAAGATAAGTCTGTTATTAAGATTAAAAACTGTTAACAAACTTACACACTCAAGTCTTATGCATAACAAATATCCTATTTGTCAATTAATGATATCTATGAGGGAGAACAAACCTTTTCTTTATGTTATCAGTAGACATATTATGGTTGACTCCAAGAATATCATATGGGCTGTCAGCCTCAGCTTCCATGATCCTTGTGACCTGAAATAAATGATTGAGAAGCCAAACGTAAGATATATTGTTCAATGCCATACAAAAGATTAGAGTGTAATTAACTATTTAAAATTCATTTGAATGGGTAATAACACGTAGAAAAAAAGAGACATGTCAGAATAATCGGAAATCCTGGATGAAACGGCTCTTCATTTCAGGTTTAAATATTGAAAAGAGATATGAAAAGATGGAGACATTAGAAAGCATAGGCCAACAGAAGACAAAAGAGACATCAAAGTACAGAGGCCACCAAATTGAACTTCCTAATTTTTCAGGTTCCTAAGAAAAATGCTACCTTTAAATAAAAATACCGTACACGAATTGGACAAACCAAGGCTTTTATCTTAAAACTTACCACAAGAGAGAAAGTTTAACCTACATGCACCATTTTTAAAATTAAACAAAAAAGTAAAAAATATACCTAATAATTGCACAAAGAAAAACTTTTACTTAGATGTATCACTAAAGTTAAATACCTCTTCAAAGCGTTCTGCCTCATTGGCCGATTCTGCTTCAGTAACCATAGCAGGTGGTGGAGGTCCTATGAATAATTCGCCATCATCTGCCACTTCTGCTTCTCTAAGAATAAATTTGAAAGTTTCAAAAAGCATAGAATGATGTGAATTACGTCCTGGAAATAAAATGATATAAAGCATTTACCAAGGAAAACATCATAAGTTGGCACCTGAGCTCAGCTTGAGCCTCTGTTAATTTGGCAGCTGCAGCAAGTAACTCAGCTGATGGCATTGCAGGGCCTATCATTCTGCAGAAATAATATATCAGTAATTAAAATAACATGAAAAATAAATAATCCTTAAAAAAATATTATCGAATTACAGATTAAGTTTGTAAAGATACGAAAATGTCAACTTACGAAAAAAAACAGTTAAATTTCTGTTCAGATGGAGGATCTACAAACTCCATCAAATCAAGTTATTTCTCTTGATTCTTGCGAACCACCCTTTTGTGTGACAAGTCACTCACTCTCCCAAAAGTAATACAATAAGGTAAACAGCAACCTATTGAAACAAACGAATAGCCCAGAGTTCATAGTACCCATAAAACACCGAAGAAAAAGGGAATATGAAAACTAGAAAATGTGTAACTCCAAGGGTAAAGACACCTTGTTTCCTGTTCTAGCAACCCCACTTCCCATAGGAGGGCAGCAGATATCTCAAGACATAGGTTAAAATTACAGGAAAGCTTCAGTATGCACACTTACATTTTATCTTAGCAAGTTATCGAAATGATACAATATAAAGAAGGCTAAGTATGACACATATTGACAGACCAAACTAATAAAGCAGTTTCTTCAATAGATTTTCCTACAAGTGAGCTGATTAATAAATATCTACCAAAGATATTTAACTAGAACTATAGACAATAAAGAACAGCGACTATTGTTAAAAGAAACAAAAGAGAAGAAACATGAGAATAAATGAAACAGATAATGAATCCTTTTGCTGTCAATATCTCTAATACTTACAGAAGGCTATGTTTCATTAAATTTAATATAACAAAAAATATTCACCCTCTCACCTTCTTTGGGGACCAGCAGAAGGAGCTTCTGGGTCATCAACCATCTTCTCATTCCTCATATCTGTTGGAACTGAATGTGTTTCAGTCATTGCTGCAGAAGTGTCTAATTGCTCCTTTCCGGAACCTATATATGCGTGAATTAGAGGACCAACAACTTCCAAAGTAGGACGAACTTTGGAGGGAAGTAAGAATACTCTATCTCCATTTTCCTCAAGATTTAGTGAAAGAAACAGCTTCTTCAAACGCTTCATAAGCAATCTTTCAGATATTCCCTTGATGTCAACAGCTTGCCCATCATCAATCATTTGCAAAAGCTATAATAGAAAAAAGATGAAGAAAAACTGTAAACATATATGCACCACAATACAAACTTGCAGGGGGAAGGGGGAGAATGGTAGAGACTAGAGAGAGAGATCGGAGATTCTATTTGAGCCGTGGGACATATCCTACGTATTTTCTAATTTTCTAATAAAGTTCATAGCGAAAATGAAAACGCCACAATGACCATCAATCAAATGGCAGGGTGTCATTTACAGCTCTAATTGAGTATTTAAACTTCAAAGTACTCCTTACTTTTCGTTTATTTGCTTGGGCATGGTAACATCAAAAAGACAATTACTGTTGATTAATAAATTACGGTATTAATATTGCATTTGCCTGATTGCCTGCAACATATTTCTAGCTTAGAAGTCTTCAATGAATGTTATCTGAGCAATTTAACTGGTATAATTAGATTCACTAAACACCACCAAAATCATCTACCGAACCAACACTCAAAACAGAAATGGTTGAAAGTAAGAAAAGTACCTGTTTCAAATCGTTGCCAACATTAGGAAATTCCTCCATCATTTCACGCACCACAGTTTCAGGTTCGACTCTCAATCTTTCTTCCTCCTCGGACCCACTACTGGAAGAATCAAACCCGTCTTCACTAATTTCATCGGAATCGTAGTTCCTCTTCTTCTTTTTCCCTTCTCTTCTCATCTTCCTTTCTTTTCTCTCTCTGTTTCTGCCACTCTTCTTCCTGTCCCTCTTCTTCCTTCTTCTTTTCTCGTCCTTTTCCCTTCTCCGTTCTCTCTCTCTCTGGGACCTGACATCGCTTCTTCTGCGCCGCTCCTTTCGATGACGGTGCCGCCTCTTTGAAGAGTGGTCGGAGTCGGAGGAAGTCGATGGAGAAGATGACGATGGCGAACTACTGGTTGCGTCCTCTAGCTTCTGCTTCTTTTTTCTGTCGCTCATTTGGGGATTTGAGAAGTCGTGAATCTACGAAAGGAAAAGTAGCATGAGCAGAGACGGCTCCAGGTCGAGGAAATTCAACTGCGAAGGTAGAAGCAGAAGATGGAAGCAGATTCAGCCCAGCCTCCCTCAATCGATGCAGCGAGAGGAATTTTGTCTCCCTCCACATACTAGGATTTCTTTTTTTTTTTTTTTTGCGCCAAAATTTTTGATTAATAGAGAAGCTCACTACATAAAGTTAAATACTTTTTGTTACTTGCATCAATTAACCTTGATTCCTAAAATATTTAAAAAAATTTTCATAAAAATATTTATAAAAATACTTATAGATTATGCAATAATGAAGCCAAACCTCATATGTGGAATTCAGATTTATTTTTATTTTAAATTTTTAAATAAAACTTAGTATTTAAGTCAAGTAAAATATGAAGCTGCATGAAGTTTTAAAAAAAACTGAAGTAATAATATAGAATAATTTATGAATAATATAAAGTAATGTATATTTAATTTATGTTTTATATTAATTAATATAATTAACTTCACAAACTTTTAATATGCTCTCCATATATTTGGTATAATAAATTGAAGAAAATAATGAACATCAAATACATCTATTAATAAACTATTCAAACAACGGTTATTTTCTTAGTGTAATATAATTCAAATCAAATTTTAAATTAATTAATTTAATCTCAAAATTAAATTTAAATTTAAATATCTTGAAATAAAAAATCAGAGGGGATTTATACAGGAGTATATCTTACCATACAAATATGAGAAAAACAGGAAAAATCGTTCATTTCTCCGAAGCCGGCTTGTGAGCATACGACGACAGCCGGAGGCTATATATAGAAGATCCTCCCGTATCCCGTTATTCGTTCACTCCCGGACGCTAGCCCTCCCCTCGAGGAAGATCAAATCCCTGGGTTTGCGAGGTTAGTTGAGTTTCTCAAACCCAAAACCCTAACAATTTTCGTACTTTTCATTGATCATTCTTTCGAGACTGAACGCGCTCTTCCTTTTATTTGTGGGCTTTCGTATATAGCGGCTGTGAAGTTATTAGATTTTGGTAGAGATTCTACTGTTTTCTTGTTTTGCGTCATGGAATTCGATGGGTCCTTTTCTTTGTTGTCATCGATTCTTTTTGGGTCTTGTTCTATTACTTCGTTGATTTGGTCACTAGCTGTTCCTTTAGTTTCGTTGCTTACAGACTATGTTATTTTTCGGTCCTTAAAGGTATATGGCCACTAATATGAGAAGGAGAGGTCTATCATGCCAAGGCTTTACTATAAGTAGCCTCCCTCTTTCATCTTCTCCCTCATACTGAGGAGAGTCGGTCTGTTATTCGTCTAACCGTGTATTATTATTATGTTTAATAAAAATCGGTCTTCTTTACCGCTAAAGAACCTATATGTTAAGTCCGGGCTTTTACGTGCTCTTTTAACAAGCCCTTCCCAGTGAGTAAGGAAGCAGTATAAGGTTTAAATGAAAAGAAGGAACTTGATTTTATTGGGACGTCGCTTGGCTCCCTGGTTATATCTAATATGTAAATCCAATGCCATGTTTTTTAAAGTGTGAGAAGAATGTTTTTGAAATATGCTATTTATCTTCCTTTCTTCCCAGGGATGATTTGAAATGGATACAATTATATGTCATGTTATATAAGCATTTCGATCTCAACTAGTTCTCAGTAGTTATGTCTTGCTATTTTAGGAGTGAGAATGGCTTCAAAACGCATTAATAAGGAATTGAGGGACTTACAGAAGGATCCTCCGGTTTCCTGTAGCGCTGGTACGCATCGAAATCATCTTATCTGAATTTTTGTTTCCTTTTGTTTTACTAACTTACAACCTAGCTTGTGTGCGCTGTAGCAGCCATATGTTGTGCTGTGCATAGTATAACCAATCACAACCAAAATTTATATTTACTATGATTTAGTGGTAGTAAGTTATGTATTGTGCATATCATATGTACAGGCCCTGTTGGTGAAGATATGTTTCATTGGCAAGCCACAATTATGGGCCCAGCAGACAGTCCTTATGCTGGGGGTGTATTCCTGGTGAACATCCACTTTCCCCCAGATTATCCATTCAAGCCACCCAAGGTAATTAATTCACAATGCTTAATTTGATAGAGCTCTATGGACTCCTTATCAATCAGCTAATGCAAGTAGTCTAGTTAGTTTTTCCCCGTTACACATACACACGCATTAAGTTTTGCAATATGAGACGATTCTCGTTTAGTAATTGGTTGTTTTGAACAGGTTTCCTTTAGAACAAAGGTATATCACCCAAACATTAACAGCAATGGAAGTATCTGTCTTGACATTCTGAAAGAGCAGTGGAGCCCTGCTCTTACAGTTTCTAAGGTATAATGCCTTTCTATATCTCCATGCAAATCTCCCTTAAGTTTTGTCAAAATAAGATGTACAAACCTTGATTTGTGGTGAGTAATGGAATGATGCATGCAGGTGCTGCTGTCAATATGCTCACTGCTCACTGATCCAAACCCAGATGACCCTTTGGTGCCTGAGATTGCTCACATCTACAAGAACGACAAAGCCAAATATGAAACTACGGCCCGTTCTTGGACTCAAAAATATGCCATGAATTAGCTTAGCCCTCCCCCCCCGGGCGGGGGGCCGGGGGCTTTTGCTCAGAAACAGTTAGTGCTTCGCGCTATCATCATTTCGTAATAATCCGTCCAAGCTGTATGAATGTTGAACAACTCTCTAGCCTTGTAGCTATTGACTTCAATTTCAAGCGTTTATTTTACTTTTGTGTCTGGTGGTAGCCTATATATCTTCTCATCATTAATTACTAAATGTGGAATCCATGTGTTATATACTTTGATTAAATAAGCTTTACTTTTATGGTTTATAAATAATAAGATATCCTGTATATCATAGATATATATATATATATATATATATATTGATTCTGTAGTGGCTCAATCGTTTTCTGCTCACTTCGCTGAGTTCGAGTCAAAAAAACTCAGAAGAGTCTTGTTTCAAACAAAGCGGGAATGGAAGATTAGTCGTCGAGGATACTTAAATCTCTGGCATTATGAACGCTTACAAAGAAGAAAACTGTAATTTGAACGTATATACATAATGGCTTTGGGCACATCCGCCGCCTTGTTAACGTTCCTCGGCACCCAAGCATCAAACTTCTCAACATCCAAGGCTTCAAAACGCAAGGCCAACTTGCACCCGAATCACACACTCTTCCCCCAAGCCCGATCGCACAGAACCTGGAAGCGCTCCACCGTTTCCTCATTAGCCACATGCACAGCAAGTCGCATGTCGACAACATTTCCTCCTCTTCAAATTTTCAAAAGATGGTATTGCATTCCTACAAAGGATCTCGTCACCATTGCAATGTGTGCCACATCCACAACCGCCAAAGCCTCTGGCGATCAGCGAGATTGGACGAGGCTCAGTTTTACTCTGTTCGAGTTGTCCTAGTATTCCTCTCCCTCGTCCTTCTTGTCACTGTCCTGGCATATTGTTACATTGTTAAGAGCGCAAAGGTCAGCTTTAAAATAGTATTCTTTTAAGATGTTCGGTTCTTGAAGTTATCCAATTGAGTACCCGTTGTCCTTTTTAGTTGCTGAGAAGCATGAGTCCTGAGGAGTGGGCGAGGTGTTTCGAATATGAGGATTCTGGTTTTTGCTTGAGCGACTCTATAATATTAAGGCATGTGAGAGACATTCTGAGTGTTCTTTTTCACTGTTAGTGACCAGATTTATTCTTGGAAGTCAAATGTCACTTGATCACCGAAGTTTTTTCTCGCCTGATATAATACCATGGATTTTTGCTTCTGAATTCTTTGTTGTTTCATGTTAGTTTAACTGTTGTTGCAGAAACAAAATAATCATAATCATAATGATGAGATCGATGATTTAAGGGGTGATTCTGATTTTCGTACAAACGTATCAAGGGTAGGGAGAACTAGAGTCCTGGAGTTAGGGAAGAGCTCTGTGGGACGTGGCCGGGGCTGAAGGCATTGGGATAAAGATGATAGGAGAAGGGATGAAGATTAGAGTCAGGAAATGATGGAACAGGCCAGCGGTGGTTCCAGGAATGAAAATGTTAATAAAGATGATGTCTTTTGATGATGAATCACAATACACGATGATTCTCATGCAGGCTTAGGTCAAAGAGGTGTTGGATTGTATAATAAAGCTGGACACTACGAATAGAAAACGTATGAAGCAAAGTATGAAGGGAGAACCTCTCTTTTTTAATGGAAACATGAATTTCACATTAATATAAAAAGTAATAACATATAAAGAGTCGAGGAGAAATTGAGCATCCCAAAGAAAGTATGAAATATGCCACAGAGGATGGATATCAAGCGTAATGATCTTAGCATGAGATGGTTTCATGTAAGAACGTCTCATGTTGCTGATCTGGACAAGAAAATTGCAGCGGCTGACATAGATGATGATTATGATGACTTCTTTAATTTAATGATGCTCAGGTTGAAGGCTGTGATGATAGTAGAAATATGAAGGAGGAACATCCTAATTTTGCACTAAAATCCAATAATGAAGTTCATAAGGCCTCCCTTGACTATTTTGATGCCGAAACCAAGGATGATGTTGTTGCAGAGAATGCTGAGATGGCCTCCTCCCCGAACGAAAAAAAATTCCCATGATGTAAAACCAAATGCTCCACACGTAAAGCCTCATTAATGGACAGCCAATCCGTAAACCACCAGTAAAAACAAAAAGAAAACCCAGGCGTCGAAATTTCAGGTGAATACATATTCCCTATTTGTGTTCTTAGTTTATTTCCTAGTCACATTCTCTAAGTACTAGCAATGCCATCTCTGCAATGCAACTTCCAAAAAGATTAGTAATTCTGTGACCTTTAGATAATCATACAATTATTCTTGTACAGAAGGCAAATGTAAAGAACTCAACAAAGAGAAGTACCGCCTAAGCAAAAGACTGACTGATGAGGATAATTGCAAGCTCAGATAGCATTCAAAGGAAGTTTCTCTGAAAGGTTCCAGCAGAAAACCTTGAAGATAAGCCCTCACCCATGCTTTCAGGATCCAATCTCACACTCTTCCTCCCAGCCGTGAGATCCTTTTCACGGTCCCAAGGCTTCCATGGATGATTACCCACCCATTCTTCTTTCTCTGCTTCTTGTTTCCGCTTTGATTTCTTCTTAGACTTGCCAGTAAGCTCTTCTTGGTGCTTTTGTACCAATGATTTTGACCTCTTCGCTTTATTGTATTTGTCCACCAACTCTGCATCCTCACTAGCCCTTTTCTTGGCCTCGTCATTTGAGGCAAGCGCAGTAGCCTCATTGTATGCCTCTAAATAACTGCCATGAAAATATCATTACGATACAAGACCAACAGAAAACTAAAACAAAGCTATCTACTCTGAATATGACGTTTTGTTATTGTCAGTGAAAAACAAGTCAATGAACCAATAATTCGCCTCTAGCAATTCCACACACAGGTATCCACTCAGCAAAATTCTAACAAAACTAAAACTTCCAACATGTGGTGGTCATCTTGGAGTCAGTGACCACCATGCAGTCATCCCAAAATGAAGTATCAATTACAAACTTCAACATATAAATTAATAATTAATAATCTAATTAAATCAAAACACATAACTAGCACTGGCGTCGCTTTATGGAGACCCAAATCTCCTTAATTCATGCTCTAAACAGAAGGGAAGCAAAATTGACCACCAAAAGCACTTTTGAATAGAATACATACTTCATCTTTGCTTTCTGGGCTCTGTCTGATGGAGTATCCGTCCAAGCACTGGTATCACCACGGCCTTCCTTTGAGCTCCGGCTGAACTTAGTCGTTTGTGTGGGCATACCAGGCTGAAACATCAAACAAATGGTCTTCATTTAGCGAAATCACCGAAATATTAATAGATAGAGCTCCCTTTACACAAATCAAAATGTTCACTGCTATGGTTGTGACTATTTCCCACCTTTTGGAAAAAAGAGAGACCATATTTCAATATTTCTTTATACTTTCAAGCTCATACTCTCTTGATCTTATAAGTGCTGATGGATTCATTTATAAGCTCTCCTACAGGCCAACAATTGAAGGATCAAGATTACTTACTTTCCTCTCAGGAGGCAGTGTTGTCATCCATTCATCTCTTTTTAGTTCCTCTTTGACCTCTGTCTCTGCCAGAAGCACATCATCACCTTCCATTGATATACCTGCCAACAAGCTTCCTAACAATAAGATAACAAACTCTAGAAGTACTGACACCCGATTACCAACACTGCCGCACTCACATGCAATCGGAATTAACACTTCAGCACTGTGTTTGCAATACATATTACAAGGGTAGGCCATGCAATCGGAAAGTTCGTGTGGTATACCTATGTTCCCTCAAAATGTAAACTAGCACCATCAAAGGAAAGAGCACACCACAAAAAGATTACAGCTGAATTAACACTTTAGCACTGTGTTTAGTTATTAATGCATAACAGGCAACACTCCATCAAGTGCCCTGGTCACTAATCACTATACATCCTAAAGCACCTTCTCCCAGCGGCACAAAGCAAGACAATCCAAATTAAGAACAAAATAAAAAAAAGCTTTTTTAATATCAGTCCAATTTCTGTATAAGACAAGAAAAGAATATACATCAGTACATTAGTATAAATTTTTATACCCCCACATTAATCCCAGTTCAATGCGTACAAGGTATAAGTAGAAAAGTAAGGGAAAAAACAGCTAAAATCATCCCCTCTAATAAACTATACGTTATATCCTACAAATTGCAAATCTATTTCTTCTTTTATTAGCAAGGTCAATAATAGACATTAGATTGTTCAAGGCTCCCATGTACTCTTATTTCTTTTTATTTTCCCCACCTCTATCATTCTTCCCACCCTGATATGCAAGAAATTAAAACTAAATAAAATAAGCCACCTTGTGATCTTCGCCAGAGTGCAGCCTCACGCATAGCTTTGAACTCAGCCTGCAGACACATAAAAGGTATTGGTCATGGAAGTTATAAGCTAAGCAAGCCAACTATCTGTCGTACCTTTAAATCTTCCTGCTCTTGCTTCTGCTTGATTTTATCATCCATTGCTTTCCTCTGCAAAAGGAACAATGCTGTCTTGTTAAATAGATAAATATCAATTACCATTTGACCAAATACGGTTGCAGCAGCAAGATAACAACTAGCAGAAAGATTCAATGATATTGATGAAGCAAACAAATTTTTCATCAAAACTCTCATCTATTAGTCGCAAAAATAATAAAACATACTCCATAGCAGACTAACTGATGTAAAACAAGAAAGGATTGGAAGGGATGAGAGGTTAGAGAAGAGGAAGAAGAAGAGAGGAGAAGTAGAGGAGCAGGGAGAACGGGAGAAAACTGATCGATGAATTCTAAAAATGCCAAGTCTGATTACAACTGAAACCCTAGACTATTTATAAGGAAGAAACAAAATAAATAAAAGAAATAAAATGAGGAGAGTGGGGTGAGTGGGGTAACTGCCCACTCTCTAAAATACAAAAATAATTAAACAAAACAAAACAAAAATAAAATAATTAGTTAATCTGCATCATTTCTCCCCGGGTTGGAAGAACTCGCCACTGGAGAGTTGGACAGCTGGAAGTCATCAAGGAAGGCGGGGTCCATACGACGAAATTCGTCCTCGGTGAGCCATGTGGCGTCTGCATCAGTGCAGCCTTTCCAACGAACGAGGTAACGACTTATGGGACCTGCTGGAGTGGATATCGTCTGCTCATCCATCACGGCATCAATGGCTGGGGCAGGCGGCGCAACCTTGGGCAACGGTGGAGTTGGGGCTTGGTAGGTCGAGGTACCTGCAGAATCATCAGAACACAAAGGGGGTGGCTCGAAAGTGCCCCGGTAAGGAACAAGATCCTCAACATTAAATACTGGACTGATAGCCATATCTGGAGGTAACTCTAATAAGTATGCATTGGGCCCTAACTTCTTGGAAATGCAAAATGGGCTAGAGGCACGGGCATGCAGCTTCTTGTAAGGCCTCTTTGGAAAACGCTCAGGCCGTATACGAGCCATGACAAGATCGCCAACATCGAACTCCTGGTGACGTCGATGGACATTAGCAGCTACCTTATACCTGTCATTATTTAAAGTTAACTTACGCCTAACCTCAGCATGAATATCGTGAAGGCGATGTGCAAAGGTCTCGGCGGACTCAGAAGGGCGAGCAGACAGGGGAAGGGGAACAAGGTCAACAGGCTGCTTTGGGTTGTAACCTTGAACAATTTGGAATGGGCTTTTGCCAGTGGATCTATTGACCGAGTTATTGTAAGCAAATTCAGCTATAGGCAAGACTAAATCCCAGTTACCAAGCTTATCGCCAACTAAACTACGGAGCAGGTCACCTAAGCTACGGTTAGTCACTTCAGTCTGTCCGTCAGTCTGAGGGTGGAAAGCAGACGAGAACTTCAGTTGTGTACCGAATAGCTTCCAAAGGGTCTTCCAAAAACAGCTGACAAACTTGACATCCCTATCAGAGACGATAGTGGTAGGCAAACCGTGAAGACGCACAACCTCTCGAAAGAAAAGCTTTGCCAGATGTGAGGCATCGGTAGTCCTAGTGCACGGAATAAAATGTGCCATCTTTGAGAATCTATCAACCACAACCAAGACAGAGTCGTGCCCTCTCACTGTCTTAGGCAATCCAAGCACGAAATCCATGCTAATGTCCTTCCAAGGTGCCTCAGGAACAGGAAGAGGCGTGTACAATCCAGTATTCCTCTTCTTTGCTTTGGCCGTATGGCATGTACGACACTGGGAAAGGATTCGAGCAACATCACGCTTAAGGGAAGGCCAGTAGAACCTATCTTCAACCAGGACCGTAGTCTTCTGAACACCGAAGTGTCCGGCTAACCCTCCAGCATGCAATTCCCAAACAAGAAAATCACGTACTGACGTGCGGGGAATGCACAATCTTGTCCCACGGAATAGGTAGCCATCATTGATAAGGAAATCCACATGATCGTGGCGGTTGCCATCTTTAACCTCGTTATAAATTATGCCAAAGTCAGGACACGAGGTGTACTCATCCTTGAGCCTGTCAAAGCCCACGACACTAACCGTCAGAGTGTTGAGAACGTGGATTCTTCGGCTAAGAGCGTCAGCTACTTTGTTCTCTACCCCTGGGCGGTGCTTGACCACGAAGGTAAATTCCTGAATGAATTCACTCCACTTGGCATGTTTGGCATTCAAGTGCCGTTGGGAGCTAAGGAACTTGAGAGACTGGTGGTCTGAGTAGATAACAAACTGTTGGGGAAAGAGATAGTACTTCCAATGTTCCAAAGAACGAACAATGGCGTAGAACTCCTTCTCGTACGTGGAGTATTTTTGCTTGGCCTCATTAAGCTTCTCACTGAAGTAGACAACGGGGTGGCCTTCTTGGCTTAGAACGCCTCCTATCCCAACCCCGGATGCATCGCACGCAACTTCAAAGCACTTGTTGAAATCAGGTAAAGCCAGGACAGGAGCACTTGAGAGTTTCTCCTTAATAGTGTTGAAAGCTGTAGAGGCCGTGGGAGTCCAATTGAACTTATCCTTCTTCAGGCAGTCAGTAATTGGCGACATAAGGGTGCTGAAGTCTTTGATAAAACGCCGATAGAAGGATGCAAGCCCATGGAAGCTGCGGGCTTCATGTAGTGTTTGCGGTTCTGGCCAATCTTGGATAGCTCGGACTTTTGCAGGGTCTGCGGACAAGCCTTGTTCTGAGACGATAAATCCGAGAAACATAACTTGATTCTGTAGGAAGGAGCACTTTGGCAGGTTGAGATAAAACTTCTCCTTCCTAAGGGTCAGAAACACCTGTCTAAGGTGGTGTAAGTGGTCATCTCTGGACTTACTAAAAACCAGAATGTCATCAAAGTAGACAACCACGAACTTTCCTAGATAGGGCTGCAGCATATGCGTCATCACTCGCATGAACGTACTCGGGGCGTTCGTTAAACCGAATGGCATAACGAGCCACTCGTACAGTCCATCTTGTGTCTTGAACGCAGTCTTCCACTCATCCCCTGGTCTGATTCGAATCTGATGGTAACCACTACGAAGATCAAGTTTGGAGAACCACTTAGATCCAGACACTAAATCAAGCATGTCCTCTAACCTAGGGATCGGGAACCTGTACTTGACAGTTATCTTGTTTATGGCTCGACTATCAACACACATTCTCCACGAGCCGTCTTTCTTCGGAGTCAGAAGGGCAGGGACAGCACAAGGACTGAGGCTATGCTGGATATAGCCCTTCTCAAGCAAGCTGTTAACCTGACGATTGAGCTCTTCCCGATCTTTAGGGTTCATCCTGTAGTGTGGAAGGTTGGGGAGCTGTGATCCTGGAACCAAATCGATTGCATGCTGGATGTTCCTCATGGGTGGCAAGTCAGGAGGTAACTCCTCAGGTGCAACATCTTTAAACTCATCCAAGAGTTGGGTCACTTCTTTTGGGAAGTTGTCAGGTGTTGGTGCAGGAGGAGAAATGACTTTAGAAACAACAGCAAGGATGACATCAACCTCTCTACTTTCTTCGATGAATTGCTTTTCCGGAAGGAGGTGAAGGTTGATAGGTTTAGAAGTGGATCCTTTCGTGGGGATTAGACCTTTTACTTTAGGCTCAGGTTTGGCAGGACGGAGTAAGATGGTCTTGCCCTCATGTTTGAAGATGTGGTTGTTCGCTCGGCCTTGGATAGTGACATCATGGTCATATAGCCACGGGCGTCCTAAAAGAATATGAGACACATCCATAGGAATCACAACACATAAAACATCCTCCTTATAGTCACCCAACTGGAGTGGAACTCGACACTGCTGAGTGATAAGCAATGAAGTGTTGTCAACCCATGCAACTCGGAAAAGCTTAGCAATTTGCTCTGTCTTAAGTCCAAGACGAGCAACACCTCGACTAGAGATCACATTCCTTTCACTTCCACTATCAATAACTAGCTTGCATGACTTATCACCGCACTTCACGAAGGTGTGGAAGATACTGTTCCGTTTCCATGAGTCATCTGGCGTTGGGACAGTCAGGAGGCATCGCATCACTCTAAGATGACCCAATGGCATGTCATCACAATTAATTTCGTCGTCCACATCAGAAGGAATATCGACAGGGTCAATGACGATGTTTGACTCGCTCTCGAGTAGTGCATCATCTTGAGATTCGATAAGCAATGCACGTTGCGGGCACTTTGAAGCAATGTGTCCCTTAGAGTGACACTTGAAACACTCTATCGATGGGCTACCTGTGCGAGTGTTCGAGGCTAATGACTCTCTTGGTCTAGAAGCGCTTGGTCCTGAAAATTGTTGACTTACCCGCTGATTGCCCGAAACAGTGGAGCTGCGTGTTGGATAAGACTCTAATCCAGAGAAGCTGGGACGCCTGAAAGAGGGATACTTAGGCAGGGAGTCAATGTCGATAGCCTTATGATATGCTTCCTCTAAAGTGTAAGGACGGTTTACTCTGAGCTCCCTCTGTATGTCATCCCTAAGGCCGCTGATGAACCTCTCAATAACCACAAAACTCGGCTCATTTAAGTCATTGCGGATCAGAAGGTCATCGTATCGAGAGATGTAGTCGGCTGCCGATGAGGTTCCCTGCTTGAGGTTGTTCAATTGGTTGAAAAGCATGCTTAAGTGACTGACCGGCACGTACTTTTCCTTAAGCTTCAACTTCATCTCCTCCCAAGTAGTGACAGGAGGTTGCCCTAGGCGTTCAAGGTTCGTTTGGACGTACTGCCAATACTTCCTTGCGGATCCTACGAGCTTCATCTTAGTAAAACGAACGCGTTGTATGTCACTCATATTGTACCACTCGAAGTAGTCGTCCATGGTGGCTAACCAATCGAGGAAGGCATTCGCATCTAAACGACCATCAAAGTCAGGTGCCTCAACTTTAACCCTCTTCGTCGCATCATCATTGTAGTCTTGCCGAGGGTGTCTCGGTAACGTCTGGGCGGCGACGGGTCTCGTCCATACCTAGGGCGCGCGGCGTATCCTCCATAGGCTCGTCGGTTCACAACATGGGATTCGTAGCGAGCCTCTGTCCCTTGCTCATCCCATGGGTTGTCCTCTTCCTCGAACTATGGGGGAAGGGTCTCAACGTGTAGCGGTTTAGCCTGTGGGTTACGTAGCCCTACAGACAGTTAGGAGCCTTTAGTGTGAGATGGTCCAATGGTGTCAAACTTAAGGTGCGCTTGATTGGTCTCAGGTACATTTCCAAGAATCCCTTCTGCACCTTTACTAAAGACATGCCTATCAATTCTTAGGAGAGAATCTCTAATTTCTTGCTGGGAGGTCCTAAGCTCTTGATTAGATACCTTAAGCTCCTGAGTAGTGGCTCTAAGCTCCTGACACTGGGAGTTATATTCTTGCTTAATCTCGGCCAAAGATTCCTTAAGGCATTTGGTAAGTTCATTCAGTTTTAGTTCAAAGGTCTGAAGTCTCTGGTCCATTTGGGATTGAAGGGAGCTAACACGAGGTTCTAAAGATTGAAGTGTTTGGTCTAAGGTGTCTTGTCTATTTTCAATATCACGAATAGTCATGCAGTAGATAGGCGAAAGCTAACAACAAATAATGAAGCAAGTAAAGAGCTACTAATAAAATGAAAATAAATTCTTCCTCCCTTTTTTTTTTTTTGCTTTTTTTTCTTCTTTTTTTTCCTTTCTTTTTTTTTTTAAACAAATGAAAATGCTAATAAAATATAATAACTACGGTAGACAATAATCAATAAAATGGCAAAAGCAAACTAGTAACCTCTAGTATGTCAAATTAGCCACAGTAAGTTAAAGAGAGGGTCAATTGCGCCTTACCAACACACTTAAAGATACCAGAAAAAATTACCCCAAAGTGTCTAAATGATTCTGTGGCCGAAGTGAAAATTTTGACAAAATCCGGGTCCAGAAGTGTAATTTCCTCCAACAAATAGAGTCAGACAGTAAAATTTCAAAACCTGGGGTGAATCCGAAATTTTCTGGAAATTATGGGCCAGAATGTGTAATTTTCGCTAAAACTGAATCTGAGCCGCAGAGGTACGGAGGCGCGTGGATATCACGCGCATAGATTCTTCCGGAGTGTGTAGGCGCGTGGAATCTCCGTTGACCGTGAAATTCTGGTGGCTGGCCGTGTTCCTCGTGACGAAGGCGATGGCGGTGGTTTCGTGGCAAACGGAAGTTGGACAAGTGAGATCTGGGCCTTCAAAGTGACGCTGATGGTGACGCTGGCTCGTGAAGGCTGTTTCCGGTGGTTTTTGGTTGTGAAACTTTGAGATCTGGACGGACTGTTGCCTACGGTGAGAATGGAAGTGGCGGCGCGGTGAACGGTTGTCGGAGAGTGAGCGAACAATGGTGAAGGAGCGGTGGGTTGTTTGACTAAGGGCGTGTTTGGGCGTTTCAAAAATCAAAAGACACAAGGGAAACCTGGCTCTGGTACCAAAATTGATGTAAAACAAGAAAGGATTGGAAGGGATGAGAGGTTAGAGAAGAGGAAGAAGAAGAGAGGAGAAGTAGAGGAGCAGGGAGAACAGGAGAAAACTGATCGATGAATTCTAAAAATGCCAAGTCTGATTACAACTGAAACCCTAGACTATTTATAAGGAAGAAACAAAATAAATAAAAGAAATAAAATGAGGAGAGTGGGGTGAGTGGGGTAACTGCCCACTCTCTAAAATACAAAAATAATTAAACAAAACAAAACAATAATAAAATAATTAGTTAATCTGCATCACTAACCTTGTTTGGATCTTGTAACTCTTTAAATGCTTTATTTATCTTAATAAATGCTTGGTGGGCTAAAGGATGAGAGCATTTGTCAGGGTGAACCAAGAGTGATATCTTCCAGAACCTAAGAGGCATTGAACAAGATAATAAAAACAGTGAAACGACCTTGATTCTATATGGCACTCCATATCAGAATAATGCTTAAAATAGCAGGAGAGTAGTAATTTGATCAGTATAGGAAGTATCATACAAGTACAAGAGGCCATGAATAAAAATATGAAGTTATCAGAAGAAAAATTCCCAGCATTCAGGTCTGATGCTCAAATGTTAGCATTAGTATGATGTATAGACTCTTGATTGAGTATTGCAGGCAACAATCAAACTTGAGTAAAGTAGTGTGCACGACCTCACCAGACATGAAGGTTCTTTTCCTAGTTTAAATAATATCAAAACGGTACTCTGTTTTTGGCACAACAAGACCTCAAATTAACATTGGTATGTATTCCTTCGCAAGATTCTCATTTAATTTGATAGAGGCTGGATTTGTAGTCCCATCTACTTTAATACTACATGAATCTACATCAATTCTTCATGTAGGATTGACGTGTTTCCTTTTCAAAGTCCAGTTGTCCACACCTCAAAAATTTCCCTTTTTATCTAACCTTCACCATCTTCAAGGAAACCTTTTCATCCAATTCGAAGAAAAAAAAATCCCATTCTTCCTTTTTGTAGCAGAGCTTATGATGTAGCATGGGAAAGAACCTAAAAGGTAAATTCCTAAAATTGACACCATGCCTTTACATAGGCCAATAAAAGTTCCTATTTGTAGTATGACAACTAACGTAAGCTCAAGACTAAGCAACCTAAACATAGCCCTCAAGAAATCCCAGTTCAAAACAAGACATAAAATATCAGTCCTACCACAATATAAGATATCACAAAGACCCAGGCAACTGATTTTGAAATTTCAAAAGCACTAAGTAATAAATAAGCCATCAACTCAGACTACAAATAACAAATTAACTCAATGAACATAATCATTATCCACTCATGCCGCATTAGTTTGGCGCCCTTAGATCTATAACTTTCTCTTTGGCTGTACTCTTCAGAGACTTAAACTGAGAAACAGAACTGAGTGCCTCGCATTTTACTTTTGGGCCTCTTTAGACATATTCCATCTCTTTCTGTGATCATATGTGACTATTTGACAGTGTCTGGTTCAATTAGTTTAAGCTATGAGATGGATGTGTATTCAAACCAGACTATGAAACTAACTTTGCCCAAATCTAACCTTACTGGTCATTCTATCTGCTCAACAAATTGGATAGGTTTAACCAACCAGATATGCATCAATATCATGTGTGTGACGCTACTCACTCTTTCATATCCCATTTTTTCTTTTCCTTTATGGATTTCAAACAATTTATTCTTCACTCTGACTCTTCTCTCTGCATTAACTCCTTATGCATCAAAGAACATTTTTTTCCTCTCCCTTTTCATATTTTCAGACATCTTTTCCCTCCTTGTCAAACCACAATCTCTCCCTTCAGTTCAGGCAAGCAAAATTCACCAAATGAACATGCCATGCTGACAACTAAGTCAAATTGGTTCTTAAAATTTTTCATCCTGCATCAGAGTTGGCCAGGTAAATAATATTGAAGGAAGAGGACAGAAGTCGAAAGAAAGGGATAATAGAAAGTATTAGGATTCATAACCTCATTAAGGATCATAACATCTCTCCTTCATCTATGAACCTTATAAAGGATAGTTATTAAAGAATCCTGAAAATCTACCTCCTTTAAAGATAAGTCCGTTATTAAGATTAAAAACTGTTAACAAACTTACACACTCAAGTCTTATGCATCACAAATATCCTATTTGTCAATTAATGATATCTATGAGGGAGAACAAACCTTTTCTTTATGTTATCAGTAGACATATTCAGCCCAACCTCCCTCAGTCGACGCAGTGAGAGGAATTTTGTCTCCCTCCACATACTAGGATTTCTTTTCTTTTCTTTTTTTTTTTTGCGCCAAAATTTTTTATTAATAGAGAAGCTCACTACATAAAGTTAACTACTTTTTGTTACTTGCATCAATTAACCTTGCTCCCTAAAATATTTAAAAAAATTTCATAAAAATATTTATAAAAATATTTATAGATTATGCAATAATGAAGCCAAACCTCATATGTGGAATTCAGATTTATTTTTATTTTAAATTTTTAAATAAAACTTAGTATTTAAGTCAAGTAAAACATGAAGCTGCGTGAAGTTTTAAAAAAAACTGAAGTAATAATATAGAATAATTATGAATAATATAAAGTAATGTATATTTAATTTATGTTTTATATTAATTAATATAATTAACTTCACGAACTTTTAATATGCTCTCCATATATTTGGTATAATAAATTGAAGAAAATAATGAACATCAAATACATCTATTAATAAACTATTCAAACAACGGTTATTTTCTTAGTGTAATATAATTCAAATCAAATTTTAAATTAATTAATTTAATCTCAAAATTAAATTTAAATTTAAATATCTTGAAATAAAAAATCAGAGGGGATTTATACAGGAGTATATCTTACCATACAAATATGAGAAAAACAGGAAAAATCGTTCATTTCTCCGAAGCCGGCTTGTGAGCATACGACGACAGCCGGAGGCTATATATAGAAGATCCTCCCGTATCCCGTTATTCGTTCACTCCCGGACGCTAGCCCTCCCCTCGAGGAAGATCAAATCCCTGGGTTTGCGAGGTTAGTTGAGTTTCTCAAACCCAAAACCCTAACAATTTTCGTACTTTTCATTGATCATTCTTTCGAGACTGAACGCGCTCTTCCTTTTATTTGTGGGCTTTCGTATATAGCGGCTGTGAAGTTATTAGATTTTGGTAGAGATTCTACTGTTTTCTTGTTTTGCGTCATGGAATTCGATGGGTCCTTTTCTTTGTTGTCATCGATTCTTTTTGGGTCTTGTTCTATTACTTCGTTGATTTGGTCACTAGCTGTTCCTTTAGTTTCGTTGCTTACAGACTATGTTATTTTTCGGTCCTTAAAGGTATATGGCCACTAATATGAGAAGGAGAGGTCTATCATGCCAAGGCTTTACTATAAGTAGCCTCCCTCTTTCATCTTCTCCCTCATACTGAGGAGAGTCGGTCTGTTATTCGTCTAACCGTGTATTATTATTATGTTTAATAAAAATCGGTCTTCTTACCGGTAAAGAACCTATATGTTAAGTCCGGGCTTTTACGTGCTCTTTTAACAAGCCCTTCCCAGTGAGTAAGGAAGCAGTATAAGGTTTAAATGAAAAGAAGGAACTTGATTTTATTGGGACGTCGCTTGGCTCCCTGGTTATATCTAATATGTAAATCCAATGCCATGTTTTTTAAAGTGTGAGAAGAATGTTTTTGAAATATGCTATTTATCTTCCTTTCTTCCCAGGGATGATTTGAAATGGATACAATTATGTCATGTTATATAAGCATTTCGATCTCAACTAGTTCTCAGTAGTTATGTCTTGCTATTTTAGGAGTGAGAATGGCTTCAAAACGCATTAATAAGGAATTGAGGGACTTACAGAAGGATCCTCCGGTTTCCTGTAGCGCTGGTACGCATCGAAATCATCTTATCTGAATTTTTGTTTCCTTTTGTTTTACTAACTTACAACCTAGCTTGTGTGCGCTGTAGCAGCCATATGTTGTGCTGTGCATAGTATAACCAATCACAACCAAAATTTATATTTACTATGATTTAGTGGTAGTAAGTTATGTATTGTGCATATCATATGTACAGGCCCTGTTGGTGAAGATATTTTTCATTGGCAAGCCACAATTATGGGCCCAGCAGACAGTCCTTATGCTGGTGTCTTCCTGGTGAACATCCACTTTCCCCCAGATTATCCATTCAAGCCACCCAAGGTAATTAATTCACAATGCTTAATTTGATAGAGCTCTATGGACTCCTTATCAATCAGCTAATGCAAGTAGTCTAGTTAGTTTTTTCCCCCCGTTACACATACACGCATTAAGTTTTGCAATATGAGACGATTCTCGTTTAGTAATTGGTTGTTTTGAACAGGTTTCCTTTAGAACAAAGGTAGATCACCCAAACGTTAACAGCTATGGAAGTATCTGTCTTGACATTCTGAAAGAGCAGTGGAGCCCTGCTCTTACAGTTTCTAAGGTATAATGCCTTTCTATATCTCCATGCAAATCTCCCTTAAGTTTTGTCAAAATAAAATGTACAAACCTTGATTTGTGGTGAGTAATGGAATGATGCATGCAGGTGCTGCAGTCAATATGCTCACTGCTCACTGATCCACCCTTCGGTGCCTGAGATTGCTCACATCTACAAGAACGACAAAGCCAAATATGAAACTATGGCCCGTTCTTGGACTCAAAAATATGCCATGAATTAGCTTAGCCCTTCCCCCCGGGGCGGGGGGCCGGGGGCTTTTGCTCAAAAACAGTTAGTGCTTCGCGCTATCATCATTTCGTAATAATCCGTCCAAGCTGTATGAATGTTGAACAACTCTCTAGCCTTGTAGCTATTGACTTCAATTTCAAGCGTTTATTTTACTTTTGTGTCTGGTGGTAGCCTCTATATCTTCTCATCATTAATTACTAAATGTGGGATCCATGTGTTATATACTTTGATTAAATAAGCTTTACTTTTATGGTTTATAAATAATAAGATATCCTGTATATCATAGATATATATGTGTATATATATTTATATATATTGATTCTATAGTAGCTCAATCGTTTTCTGCTCATTTCGCTGAGTTCGAGTAAAAAAAACTCAGAAGAGTCTTGTTTCAAACAAAGCGGGAATGGAAGATTAGTCGTCGAGGATACTTAAATCTCTGGCATTATGAACGCTTACAAAGAAGAAAACTGTAATTTGAACGTATATACATAATGGCTTTGGGCACATCCGCCGCCTTGTTAACGTTCCTCGGCACCCAAGCATCAAACTTCTCAACATCCAAGGCTTCAAAACGCAAGGCCAACTTGCACCCGAATCACACACTCTTCCCCCAAACCCGATCGCACAGAACCTGCAAGCGCTCCACCGTTTCCTCATTAGCCACATGCACAGCAAGTCGCATGTCGACAACATTTCCTCCTCTTCAAATTTTCAAAAGATGGTATTGCATTCCTACAAAGGATCTCGTCACCATTGCAATGCGTGCCACATCCACAACCGCCAAAGCCTCTGGCGATCAGCGAGATTGGACGAGGCTCAGTTTTACTCTGTTCGAGTTGTCTTAGTATTCCTCTCCCTGGTCCTTCTTGTCACTGTCCTGGCATATTGTTACATTCTTAAGAGCGCAAAGGTCAGCTTTAAAATAGTATTCTTTTAAGATGTTCGGTTCTTGAAGTTATCCAATTGAGTACCCGTTGTCCTTTTTAGTTGCTGAGAAGCATGAGTCCTGAGGAGTGGGCGAGGTGTTTCGAATATGAGGATTCTGGTTTTTGCTTGAGCGACTCTATAATATTAAGGCATGTGAGAGACATTCTGAGTGTTCTTTTTCACTGTTAGTGACCAGATTTATTCTTGGAAGTCAAATGTCACTTGATCACCGAAGTTTTTTCTCGCCTGATATAATACCATGGATTTTTGCTTCTGAATTCTTTGTTGTTTCATGTTAGTTTAACTGTTGTTGCAGAAACAAAATAATCACAATTATAATGATGAGACCGATGATTTAAGGGGTGATTCTGATTTTCGTACAAACGTATCAAGGGTAGGGAGAACTAGTCCTTGAGTTAGGGAAGAGCTCTGTGGGACGTGGCCGGGGCTGAAGGCATTGGGATAAAGATGATAGGAGAAGGGATGAAGATTAGAGTCAGGAAATGATGGAACAGGCCAGCGGTGGTTCCAGGAATGAAAATGTTAATAAAGATGATGTCTTTTGATGATGAATCACAATACACGATGATTCTCATGCAGGCTTAGGTCAAAGAGGTGTTGGATTGTATAATAAAGCTGGACACTACGAATAGAAAACGTATGAAGCAAAGTATGAAGGGAGAACCTCTCTTTTTTAATGGAAACATGAATTTCACATTAATATAAAAAGTAATAACATATAAAGAGTCGAGGAGAAATTGAGCATCCCAAAGAAAGTATGAAATATGCCACAGAGGATGGATATCAAGCGTAATGATCTTAGCATGAGATGGTTTCATGTAAGAACGTCTCATGTTGCTGATCTGGACAAGAAAATTGCAGCGGCTGACATAGATGATGATTATGATGACTTTTTTAATTTAATGATGCTCAGGTTGAAGGCTGTGATGATAGTAGAAATATGAAGGAGGAACATCCTAATTTTGCACTAAAATCCAATAATGAAGTTCATAAGGCCTCCCTTGACTATTTTGATGCCGAAACCAAGGATGATGTTGTTGCAGAGAATGCTGAGATGGCCTCCTTCCCGAACGAAAAAAAATTCCCATGATGTAAAACCAAATGCTCCACACGTAAAGCCTCATTAATGGACAGCCAATCCGTAAACCACCAGTAAAAACAAAAAGAAAACCCAGGCGTCGAAATTTCAGGTGAATACATATTCCCTATTTGTGTTCTTAGTTTATTTCCTAGTCACATTCTCTAAGTACTAGCAATGCCATCTCTGCAATGCAACTTCCAAAAAGATTAGTAATTCTGTGACCTTTAGATAATCATACAATTATTCTTGTACAGAAGGCAAAATTTGTTATTTTTGTGTGTGTCTGTTTTGGTTAGATTCTGCCCCTTACGTTGTTGAGCTCCATTGAAGAACTGTAATTTTCAAGCACCGTCTTTTGGACTGTTTATAGCTGTCTTTATTTTTTTTTCAGAACACCCTTTCTTACATAATATAGAACTAGTTTTTGCTTTAAGAATGTTGTTGCATGATAATATTTTCTCTATTGCTTGCTTGACGTGTCCTGTGACTATTCTCCAGGATTTTGCGAGATGAAGTTGTTAAACTCCACTTCAAAGCTCGTAGAGCCCCAAGAATGTCAGAAGTTTACGAGATTGAACTTGCAGTATACAGATTCAGAAGAGAAACCCCTTGGAGAGAAAAAAAAAAAGAATGGATTCCCAGATTTGCAGGCCAATCAGAGCTCGGACGAGAGGGAAAAATCATTTTGGCACATGATCAGAAAATAAACTGTGGCTTTGCTAGAGGTCCTGAAGGGTTCCCTAGCCCGGGTTTTGACTTGGCAGAAGATGATGCAAGATATATTAGCCAGATGCCACGTGGCTATGATTTCTAGCATATTGGGAAATTATGATCGCTTGAGGAGATCGACTAATAAAATGGTATTGGTTACACCCTCTGTGATCTCATTTTCTCGGTTGAAGAGCTGTCCGTAAGGCTAAGAGAGAAGGGGAAATCGGTACCCTCTAAACTTGTAATTTGCCTTGCACTATTGGAGTGGAAGTTAAAATTGACTCAAGGGTAATACTAGTAACTAAATCCTATATTAAAGACTGGAAGTAGTATTTTATTACGTCCATCAACAAATTAAATGGTTTCTCATCTTTTCCAAATTTGCATCTCCTTATAACATTGATTGTTCTTCTCGTTCAAAACTATCGTAAACAATCTAGCTGATGTTAAATAGACCAAAAAGCACGTCTGTTGAAAGTGAGGGATGTTAAGCATCAACCGAAGATTGAATTACATTTCTCGAAATGTCTGTTGACCATACCTTGAAGGATCAATCACACTTCTGCCTTGTATTTTGGGGTAGGCTCACCATATAGGCTGAATCAACATCTTGATCTTATTTAGTCTTTAAAAACTGGCAATTGTGCAAGTTAGTCTTCCAAGATCAAAGTGAACTAATTAGTTGGAATATCGACGAATTAATGAATCATGGTTTTGATTGGGTTGATTTATACACCCCACCCTCATGTTTTTTGTGTATCAGCAGATAACCAGTAAATTCCCAAGAAATATGACTACGAAAATAAAGCAACACTGAGAAAATGAAATACCGATACAGAAAATCTTATTTATTTTTAATCAACACTCCACACAACAATAAAAGGAGACAAACAAAAACAGTATGATAAAATACACTGCACAGTATGCTAGGTTATCGACCAATCCCAGACTCTACCCTTCTATATATCCATATAAAAACACTTGATAAACCATGAACAGTATGTTGTATGAACCACAGACCCATGATGTAGCTTATTTATAAAATTCCATGACTCCTAAGATATTGGACAAAGCACGACAAGCAAGCTTGAAGCCAGAAAAGCCAGCTCTTTTGCACAGAATCTCGAATTCCTTCTCAGTTCTTTCCCTTCCGCCTCCTTGCAGCATCATTACACTGTCAGAGGCTAAGGTATTTTGCAGACTGGCTGATTTCTGGATCTTGTGGCATCATCAGGTCTATTACTATCACCTTCCCACCTTCCTTCAATGCTTCTCGGCAATTACTAAAAATTAAAGTTGCACGCACTTCTCATCTGACCAGTTATGAGTTGTTCCCTGTAATGTGAATGTAGCCGCAAATTATTATTAACGATCCCAAACTGAAGCATCTATATGAATAGTTTAGGATCGCAGAGGAAAATTAATTCAGATTTGTTACCTTAATCATTATAGCTTCTCCTTCTGGTACACTCTTGAACATGTCCCCTCCTACATGTGTTAGTCCTTCAAAAGTTACGTGTAGGATTTTGTTAGTATCGATCAGCGACACCAGATCTGTGTTGGTTAGGTGGAAAAAGTAGCCTAGGTACCTGGGAAGTGAGGGGCATCTTGGACGACATGTGGCAGGTCAAAGTTGACACCCTGCATGCAAGGATACTTGGAGATGATCATCTTGAGGCTTTGACCAATACCACCAGCCACGTCCACAAGCTGAGATATGCCTTCGAACCCTTGGTACACTTCAGAATCTTCTCCATGTGCAGTGCAGATATTTCGGCCATTGTCCTCTGAAACAAGTTCTTCAGCTCTAAGTCCTTCTCCACGTACTCGTACATCCTCTGCCCATTCACTTTCTTAAATATGTCCACTCCTCCGTCTAGAACCGCCTCCTTGCAGTTTAGCCTACACGTACATATCACAGTAATATATTTCGTGTGCTTGTTTGTATAACCTAGAGGGAGTCGTTGAATTTAATTAATGACTCACCAGACTCGAGCCATGTATGGGTGGTAGGACAGCTTGTGGAACAAGGAAGCCCAAGTGGGAGAACCGTCCTGTTTCTTGACGAAGTATTTTCCGGTGGGGGACAGTCCATACAGCTTCTCTATGCTTCCGTCTTCGTTGGAGCGAGCAGAGAAAGTGAGGACTGAGAAGCTCACCAGAAAACGAAGCAGGCGATCGAGTTTTGATATGGAAACCTTGGAGGTCAGAACAGGAAGCTGAGAAGCAATCTCAGACACAGAAACAAGAGCGCCGCCATTGTTGGGGCTTCCCTTTGCGATGATATCAAAGAGGTCTAGATCACTGGCTGCGTTTATGGCAGCTGGGTATGTGTGTCCACATGCTAGGATCAAGGCTTGGATGCGAGCATGACCTTCATCGTGATCTTCATGACCATTGTTTTGATGAATCTGAGTGAAGCTCATCATCTTTTGGCCTTTTTTTTTTTTTCTGTTGATAATAGGGAATGAAACAGCTTTACTAAGAAGCTTTTTGAGGTTCTGGTTTATATGGCTTGGAGCTAGATTGAAGTTGCAAGCGTTCTATATATAGAGTGCAATTAAACAGAGTTATCAGAAATTGTACTTTTTATAATCCTTAATATAAAAGCTAATTGACTAATTTGAATAGATTAAGAAAGTTTGTTAAGTTACTTATTTATAATAATTAAGTGTTATCTTTCCTGAAATATCCTTACTAATTATATATATTAGTTATAACTATTATTTAATGGAATCTTTTAATATGTATAATTACTATAAGGATTAATTTGAAAAAATAAATAAATATAAAAGATAAAGTGAATTAGAGTCTTATGTTTAGAACCAAATTAAAAGTCAAACCAGCTCTTATATTAAGGATCGAATTGATGATTTATTTTGTCAAAATAAACTTTTACTTAGATTATATTCTTACACGAGTTAAATTAGATTCTTAAATGTCGCAATATTGATTTAATAATATCAGTATCATTTCAAGAATTAGATTGGATTGGGCACTTCAATACGTAACAAAGTCAAAAAAACTGAATACTAACGAGTCTAATTGGATGCGTGAGGTATTGGTGTCTTGCTATAACTATTAAATACGACAACTTAATTTAACCTTATTACATTTAATCTAATTAATTTACGAGAAAGATGAAGACAAAACTAGAAGTTGATCAAATGAACGAGTGATAATGACTCAACAAAAACTAAATACTGCTACTAATTAGTTGTTTTGGATAACAAATAAATAATCGGAGAATTAATTTTCCGCTTATCGAGATAAAATAATTATAATTCTTTTAAAAAGTAAAAAAAAATTAAATTGGTCTCAATAATCCTTGATTCAACGGGTGATGTCTAATAAATAAAATAAAAGATTGTTTTACCAAAAAATAGGAGACCGTCAAAGTTTGAATATTATGTTCTGGTTAAAAAAAAGTTTTATTTTTTATTTGGTAGACATCATCCATTGAATCAGCAAGGATTTTTTTTTTTTGGAGAAAGACTGAATCAAGGATTATTGACACCAATTTAGTTTTTTTTTTCCATAACATTTTTAACAGAATTATAATGATTTTATCTCCACTGTCAAAAGGAGTTAGTCATTATTACTCAATTTAATGGAAGGGTATATAGCTTTATGAAGAAGGCAATGTTATATTTTTTAGCGTACCATAATAATTATGAATTTGGATAATACGAGATGAGAGTTAGATTGGGACAAGTCCGGACGGGGTAGAATAAAAAAGAAAAGGCTTGAACTTTGAACATACTAACTCCAGTCCTAAATATGAGAATTAGTTGATTAATTTGAGTAAATTAAAGAAATAAGTTAAATTAGTTATTTAAAATAAATATGTGTTGTCTTTCCTAAAATATCCTTACTAATCAAGTGTATTGATTAGAAATATCATTATTAGAATGACTACCTTAAGAAAAGACGTATAAATATGAGAAAAAAACAAATTAGAATCTTGTATTTAAAATCAAAATAAAAATCAAATAAAAACTTATATTAAGGATCGGAGGTAGTATTAGAATAAAATAAAATCTCTTTCCCGGCTCTTTACCAAGTGACGAAGTTAATTACTGTAGCAGACATACAAAGGCGATATATCGCCTTTTGCCCACTAGCACGCTATCAAATTAAGCCGCTCTTAGTGCCTTTATTTTTGGCATCATTTAATACGCCATACTTGCTAGCTAGTTTTCATTTGGATCTCTTGCACACAAAAAAATGGTGATACTCTAGTCCTTTAATCAACACGTGACCTTTTTGGGATTCACGACTTTGATATATTATATTTGTAATGGTTTTTGAAGGATGGCCCAAAGTACTCATAATTCATAGCTTTCTTATAAGAAATCCAAATGTCTTCCTTCGTCGTTATTGTTTGGGCATATAAAGCTCCACAGGAAAATAAATTGTTAAAAGATTCTTCAAATTTAACTTGCTATTAATAAACTCCCTGAAGAACTTATACAAAAGCATACCTGATCAGTTAATTTGATTGGTATAAATAAACATTGCAAGACTCGTCAGTTTTTCTTCATCCCATGCTAGTTTTGGGTTACCAATAAATCTTTACAAGCTCTCTTGTAACATTTACCAATCAAGCTTAAAAATTATCTTCTTTTTTTTTTTTACCAGAAAGCTTAAAAATTATCTACAACCTATTATGTGTGTTTTTTTAATAAGGTTTTCAAATAGTCTTTTAGCTAGTAATAAGTCAAGTTCAGGACAATTAATAACTATTTTTCTTGTCCGGGATTTCTTTATAATTTTCCCTTATTTTTCTTCATTTGTTTTCATGCCATTGTGCGTTAAATCCAAGTCCTAGATGTACCTTTTCATTTTAGGCATTAATGACGTACCACCTCCTATTCTAAATATAAAAAAATAAGTTAAGTTAGTTATTTATAATAAATAAAGATTATTTTTCTCTTAAAATATTTTCGCACATCAAGTTAATTGGTTAGAACTACTATTATTAAAATGACTAGCTTGAAAAAAGAAGATAAATATAAGAGATACAATATATTGAGATCTTATATTTATAACTAAAATAAAAATCAAACGAAGTGTTATATTAAGAACGGAGGTAGTATTAGAGAATGAAGCAAAATAAGAATTTTTACCAACCAAAAAATAATAAGAATATAATTACCAAGACAAGTAATCATAATTACCAAATGCCATAGAAAATAGACAAACTTCAGTTACCATGCGCTCTATTTTCTAACACAAATAGGGGCAATACATTAATTTTGTTTATGAAGAGAAATATAATTATTTTATGCGGAAACTAAGCTTTAGTCATAGACGACAAGACTACTAAATTTCAATCAAACTGAAATGCCCGTAAGACGATAAAATTTATATAGGGGAAACTTTCCAAATTATTAATATATATCAGTGTAAAGAACAATTCGTTATATTATAGTCAAAACATAAAATGATTTATTATGGTGTAAATCATTATATTAACTGTCATGACAAATGCAGGTGAAGTTCTCTTACCTTATTAGAGTATTTTAATTTAAAAGTCAACAGATCCTAATTTAATTTATACAGGACATATATTATTATATATGTGTATAATATTTTTTTCAATATTTCGTTTTATTTAGAATAATAGATTAATTATTTTATCAAATTCAACGGTCCCTAGTATAGAGAAATATATGCCCAGAACTCGGAAGTTTTAGCTATTCATACTGGTCAACGAAATACTTCATTAATTTTGTAGTTTCCTCTCTTATTAATTCCTCGTACAAAGCTTAATGGCTAATAATATAAATAATCGTATAATATTTAAAGAAATTTAGTCTCTGTTGCTTGTGGAGAATACTCCTGAATTCCTGATAAATTTTAAAGGAACAAATTCTTCTGTGTTTGAATAAATATTTATTTTTGACCTTCAAAATCATTGAATAACGTTGAGTCTTAGGCAACGGATCCTAGTTTATTTTACATCCGTCATTTTGCTATTTTCAATTATTTTCTTAGCCTTTCCATATACGATTTGTGTTGAATAACACTTGTTTCGTGTTGTGGGGGTTTGAATCATCCTAATATAAAAATGAATAAATTTTATAAATCATTAAATCATGAAAACTAAATGATGAAATCATGTCACGTGACGTGATGTATATTTATACATGTTGACATTTCAAGGGGGTGTTTGGCAAAACCAAAACCTAAGTTTCAGAAGTACTTTTGCAAAACGAGATAACATCCTCCATATTCGTAATCCGTAAAAGCACTTCTGAAACCATGGTTTGGTTTCTATCCAAACACCCCTCAAGCAGAAGGAAATGTTGGTCCATATAATGCTAATTAAAGGACGAGTTTAATATGCAATATGATATCAATTTTGCCTCCGGTTTTCAAGATCTTATGACGCCTATCATTTTGGGAATTGTCTGATATATGAAAAAGTCAAGCCAATTAATTAATCACTGCATATTGTAGAAGTGATGTATAGTATCTTTTGTTACCTCAAAGGCCTCAAAATATCAAATAAACCATCAACACCTTCGAACACAGCTTCTGTTCAAGCTTGCACTAATTTTGAATACCAAAAATTTAGCTCCTGAAAAATCAGCACAACCATATATCATCAATACTATATACAGTATCTTTTCATCTCAAGAGTCATCAATGACCAATGCGCTACATTCCTAGAAGAAGACCTGAAAAAGCAGGTTAATGGTGTGAACTTTAGAGGGTGTTTATATAGAAACCAAACCATAGTTTCAGAAGTGCTTTTACGGTTTACAAAGTAAATATGTAAAGGAGTTTGCCTCGTTTTGTAGAAAAGTGTTCTGAAACTATGGTTTGGAGGTTGTCAAATACCCTTTTGAGTGAAAAGTTTGCATAGCTAATAATCTTAGAGTGAGTCTGCACCAAAGAAAGAGGTAGCAAGCTAATTAAGTATGTGTGTTTGTTTTTGTGTGCCTTTAGTTTGATGGATTCTTGTTCCGACCTTGTTACCATTGATTTAGAACTATTTCTTCTTATTGTAATAAAGTTTAAGTGAATTGGAATCTCCCTTCACATTAGGAGTAAGATTTAAACTCACGACTTTATGATTTATAAAACGACTCGTTATTAACTAGACGGTTGATTTGGAGTTATATTATGTACGAATCATATATGCTCAAGATTTAATAATATCAACCATTTTCTGTGGCGATTGTGGTTGAAGGATTGTGGTTGAATGGTAACTTACCCCTACAGTTCATGAGACCCTTTTTTTTTTTGTGGAGAGAAGACTCTTCATAAAATCTAATAAATTATTCATGACACTGTCTTTTTTCACTCTCCCTTTCCAATTTAACCAGAATATTTAGATCATTTGATAAGTTTGTAAAATATAAATTAATCTGAATTGTTAAAATGTAATCCCAACGAATGAATGTACGGTGGGAAAAACATACTGAAGAGAAACTGGGCTTGTTTCGTCACTGAATCAAAGAAACGAGTTTTATTTTCTGTTCCCTTCTGCGCCGGTTTGAAGAAAGATCATTGTTACGACTTGGGCTGAGGCCTAGAGCCAAAACCATCGGGCTCTATCTCAAGGCCCAACAAGAGAAATGACCCACTATCACCCTGAAACCCAAAATATCCTGAACCAAAATTGGTTGGAACAATTATAAATAGGTCCTTTAAATTTTACTTATTACTAATAAATCTCAACGGATCTGTGTATAATTTGGGTTTTATTTTTTTAAAAAAAACACGTATGCTTCTATTCATAATGTGATTCCACCACAATGTGAGACTACTCATTACTCACTATTAAGAATATTAAATATCATCCTTTTTAATCAGTTATTTCGCACACGCATGTGTTGGTTGTTTTCAAAGCAAACATGCTTTTTTCCCTAAACATCATCCATTATATCTGTTAATTGTGATTAGTTTAATTAGATTCAAACCCTACATGTTAGCCTCCACGTGGAAAAATACTATTAGAAGAAAGGACTTACTTGATGGTTGCTAAGTGCTAACCATCAAATATTTAGATGTCATTTAAATTTTGAACCAATAAGTAATAATTATTAATCATTAAATGAGGCCTCACTTATTTGATGGTTAAAAAAACGTCATATAACAATGTTCCATTTTGGTCGGTATGTACGTTACTGTTGCCTTTCAAGCGCCCCCTGATCGTTGTAAAAAACAAAAAGCAACATTACAATTCTAGCACATCCAAATTAAAATCCAATAAGTATATAAATTAACCTAAAATCAAAACTCAATGACGTAAAATATTATTACTAAATTAGATGTCCAATTAATCCAAAACCTAGTTACTAGCTAAGTGCCCAAGTATTTAAACCAATATCCAAAATAACACATATAAGTTAAAAATTTTCGAAGGACTTGTAAAAAGTGAAACAATAATTAAGAGCTTTGGAAGAGTTAATTTCTATACTAACTCGAAGGTCAACTAAAGCCAGGCATGGGTGATTGTTTAGGTTAACATAAGTTCATCCAACCAACCACTGAAATGGAATTTTGTTTGCGCATTGAGTTTAGATTTGTTGTGATAAATTAAACATCGGAAAACTGTTTTTGGAGGACTTCTCTAATAGCAGTATATAAGTATAACGGCAACCAGATTTTAAAACCAAAATTTCAAAGTCTATGGAAATTTTTTAATCAAGTCAAGTTTTCTTTCTTCTTTTTTTAATCCCCTCTCAGCTAATCAAGTTCCACTTGAAGTATTGATTAAATCAAACTCAAATATTAAATTATTCTTAAAGAAAAATTCCTGCGAAGGGTTACTTACACTACCTTCGGTCTTAATTATAAGATATGGTTTGTAGACTACAAATGAGATCTTATAATTAGGACTGAAGGTAATATTTTGTAATAGTACGCAAGGTAGTTTCTATCTGAAAGCTAAATTCATTGTTATTGCGTACAAATTAATTATGTAGGTGGAATATTCTATAAGAGAGGGGGTCAAGTGGTAGAACACATGATTAATGAAATAGATCAAGTTGTGGCTGCTCTAAATTAATTATTAAAAGGATAGAGAGATTCCTTCATTTTTCAGTTTTTATTTTTTGAACTCCCAAAGAAAAATTCAACATGTTTATGTGGGGAGCACAATATTTTAAAAAACCGGGGTTAGGAGGTTTCACGTGGGTAAGCCGTAGCTGCACCCCCAACCGGTCTTCAGTAATTTTATCTTGGGTTGAAGATTTACGTGGTGGAAAATAATTCTTGACGAGCACCAGCCTGTTAGATTGAATGGTAAGTGTAAGCGTATATTAAAGGGGGGGAAAAAAGGGCAAGTGGAAGCAAAAAGAAGATTCCAAGGATCCGAAGCAGATGAAGAAAAGTAGAGAACACGAGGCTTAGACATGGAAGCAGGAAGACCGATCTACGTAAACCTCATATAAAGTTAAATAACCAGAGGTATACTTTAGCTAATTTCTTTTTGTCCTTTTAATAATGTCATCGAGTGTAAGGCCAAATGGTAAATAATTAGCTGCCAAGAGTCCCAAGTTCAATATATTCCAGTCCTTCTGTATCCCATTTAATCGAGGCCTTATTTAAAAGAAAATATGAGAAGTAATCAAAATGCATTGAAAAAAAAATAAACCTGATAAACTCGAAAGAATAGTACAGTAGTCAATGTAGGTAGAGGAATATGATTCGAGTATTATTTGATAGGGTCGCTTACCTTAGATCAGAAAGTGTATTATAAATCGTACCGATAACAAATTCTGCTTTAATAGGGTCGCTTACCTTAGATCAGAAAGTGATCACCTCCATTGCAAGTAGTAATTGATTAATGCCCCAGGATTATTGAAATAAAAAGCGTTAATTTATTCCGAGCCAGTACGACTTTTAATTTCTATATAAAAATATATCTCACAGGGTTTGAACTTTGAACGCCTTGCACGATCCAGTTACACTATAAATAACCCCCACAAGTACAAGACTAAATCAGGCTGTGTGAAGCTTTAGGCTAAAGAACTGCTCTCATATTTATAACCGTCCATATATAGCTAGAGAAGAAGCCAGCAAGCTAAGCTAAGTATGAGCCCCACCATGGAGAATAATCATGAATATGATGTTTCTCTTGATGCTATGATGCTGGCAAGTGCCATGGTTTACCCCGCAGTGTTAAATGCTGCCATTGAGCTCAACCTGTTTAAGATCATTGGAGAGGGAAGCCCTAAGGGCATGTCACCCTCTGAAATTGCTTCAAAGCTTCCAAATCCACATGCTGACACGGCTCGCCGACTCGACCGATTGCTGTGTTTGCTGGCAAGTCATTCTGTTTTGACTTGTTCCTCCAAGAAGCTTGACGATGGTACCACTGAGAGGCTTTATGCTCTTTCTCCTACCGGTAAATACCTTGTCCCCGATGAAGATGGAGTCTCTTATGCCTCAGTCTCACTATTAAGCTACCATCCAGCTTATATCAAAGTTCGGTAAGTTCTTCATGTTCTTTTCCATATGCAGGGGCTTTAACTATATATTCTTCTTTTTAACATTTTGTTGGTATATGGTGTGAATATATCACAATAATGGCAGGGAAAACATCAAGCAAGTGATACTGGACGAGGAAGAGGACCTGTTCAAGAAAGTTCACGGGATGTCCATGTTTGAGTACATGAAAAGAGATGCAACCTTCGAAGCTCTTTTCCACAAGGCAATGGCCGATCTTTCATTCATGCACATGAAGCAGATCCTTGAGAAATACCAAGGATTCGAAGGAATATCAACCCTTGTTGATGTTGCTGGTGGCATCGGCCAAAGCCTGAAAATGATCGTCTGCAAGTACCCTTCAATTCAGGGCATTAACTTTGATTTGCCACATGTTGTTCAGCATGCCCCGTCCTACCCAGGTAAATATATATCCTTGATGTTTAAATCGCATCCTTTCCAAAACTCATCGGGTAATACAATATTTCCTTCTGAGCTAACATTTATGATTTTCCTCGGATTATATATTAAAGGAGTCAAACATGTTGGAGGAAATATGTTCGAAGGTGTGCCGGAAGGTGATGCCATAATGATCAAGGTGAATATAGTTGGTTCAACACAACAACTTCACATAATAAATCCAGAGTTTAAATTTGATAATGATAAAGCTGTACTTATATTTGTTTTGTTGGATGCAGGCTACAACTCATAACTGGGCAGATGACAAGTGCATACAAGTTCTGAAGAATTGTCACAAGTCCCTCAAGGAAGGTGGGAAGCTTATTATTATTGACCTAATAATGCCGGAAGCACCAAATGCAACCGACGGGGATAAATATGTTGCGATTCTTGACAACGTCATGTTTCTGCAAGCTGGTGGGAAGGAAAGAACCGAGAAAGAATTGGAAGCACTGGGCAAAGCTGCTGGCTTTTCTAGCTATCGCGTTGCCGCTCGTGTTTTCTCATCTGCTTTGGGAGTCATTGAGTTCTACAAACAAACCATGTAAAAGCGAAGTTTTGGGTGTGATATTGAAGGGAGGAATATGATTTTTGAATAAAGGATCGCGTGTTGTGTGTAATACAGACAACATATGTGTGTGTGTGTGCATGAAAAGTTTGTCTTTTCTTCATAGTGTTGAATTTTGTTCTGATGTAAGTTACAAGAAACAGCTTACTGACTTAGAAGTATTGTTATAAATTAATATATTTATAAGTTATGAATAATGCGAGACACAATTTGTAGACTTTGTACGATACATGAGTCTTGCACATCTAATTGAATGAGCTTTTGCATATTAATTAGGAAAAATCCAAAAAAAAATTGAAATTTCAAAATTAATCCCAAATCAGTTTTGTTTTCCACAATTTAATAGCAATTGATTATACTTGAAAAACAAATGACAACACATTTTTGTCAGAATTCTTAATTTGATATTTTGAAATTTAAATTTTTTTGGAGGGATTTTTCCCATTAATTGGTTGTTCAAATAAAAATATTTTTATAATACACAAAGTAAATAAAAATTGTTGAGTGACCTGGGCAAATTATTGAGAGGCGATAAATTTCCTTGAATATTTAATGCAAACGGAATATTCAGATAAAAATGGGAAGGGGATATCACTATGGACAAAACAATCCCCGAGTAAAAAAGAGTCAATGGTGTTGAATTTATAAATTCGTGCTAAATTAGATGAAGTCCAGAGAACAAAGAGGCCCATAATGAAGATCAGAGGGAAAGCGGTCGGCCGGAGCCTGGAGGTGTTGCCGCCGAGTAATTCTTGCAGGAATTAGCAATAGTACTGTGTGATTCTGATGATGATGATGTGCATTTAATTAGGATTGACGATCAGCTCTCACCTGTCATGGAATTGTGTCCAAATATATATACATGCATTACAAGTTTTCACTTAGAAATCTCTGTGGATTAGAGAAGGCCATGAGTGAAAGCAACTTCTATGATACTCTCAGATTTACACACAGCACAAGAGTCCACTTTGTCTCATCAGTTTCATTCCACTTGAACGGTTTTGAGAGAGAAGGATTAACGGATATCACAGTACAAACTTAAAGGAGTTAATTGGAAAAAAAAAATCTCAGGGGCTTGATTCAAAATGAGAGCGGCAAACTATAAGAATCTTCAAATTAATTTTTCCTTGTAATTTAAAAAAAAACAAAAAAAAGAGTAGAACCAACCATTAAGTATATAAGGTGAACCAAACCAAAAATTCAACCACGTACAATATTATTACTAAATTAGATCTCCAATTACAAAACATATTCACAAGCTAAGTACCCAAGTATTTAAACCAATTTCCAAAATAACAGATATAAGTTATAAATTCTTGAACAAAGACTTGCAAAATGTGAAACAACGAGCTCTGGGAAAGTTAAAGTCTATACTTTTGTTAACATATACTGAATTCTACTAACCCAAAAGAGTGTTACGGCACGTTAATTTCTTTCTTTGTTTTTTTTTTTTTTTTTGGCCAATACAAGAAGTTAATTTCAATACTAACTCGAAGGTTAACAAAAGCAAAGGCATGAGTTACTGACAATTAGTTGGTTAACATAAGTTGGTGAAGTTCATCCGACCAACCACTGAAATAGAAGTAATAACGGCGACTAAATTTTAAAACTAAATTTTCAAAGTCCACTGAAAATTTTTAATCAAGTCAAGGTTTGTTCTTTTATTTTTATCCCCTCCCAGCAGCTAATCAAGTACTCACAAATAGTGGTCTGGTCGTCTCTGCATCAATATTGTAAGATCCACCTGAAGTATTAATTAAATCAAACTTAAATATTAAATTATTCTTGAAAAAAAAAATGCTTTCAAGGTTTACTTAAACACGCAAGGTAGCTTCTGCATGAAAGCTAAATTCATTGAGTATGAATTAATTAAAGGATAATTACAATCAAATCCCAATAAAAAAAAATAATTACTAAAAAAATCTTAATAACAATCTAAGTAGTTTGTAATGATAAGTTTTAAAATAAAAAATATCAATTTTTGAAACCTATTTTGTTTTGTTTTTTTTGAAATTTTATTGTAATTCTCCCATTGATTAATTATGTGTAAAGTTGATTTGATGTGCTTAAGTCGAGAGTCATAAACAATGACATGATTTGACATGTTTGTTAATTGATGGCGTAATCTTTTTAATTTCTACCTCTATACCCTGTTTATAATACTCCTCTAATCTTTATAATACTAAACCTAATTAATTAATTTGAGTAGATTAAGAATATTATTTAAATTTATCAATATAATATACTCTTTGTAAAATATCTTAAGTATCTTTCTTAATTATCTCTCTCTATTTTCTATTTGATTATTATTGAAGGAATATCAATAGGGTTAATTTGAAGAAAAAATTGATAAATATATAAAATATATCTTATATATAAGACTAATATCAACTCTAAAATTAGATCCTTTATAAGGTACTATATTATTTATTACAATTGTTTTTCCTTATTATAAAAAAAGCATTAAATTCAGAGAGAAGGAGAAGTAAAATATGATGCATCTAGACCGCGAATGCACGTATCATCCCCTTGATGAAGAAGTAAAACTTGTGACCATTTCTTAAGGATCCATTTGAATAACAAAAACAACAATAATATATTATTATTTATCATTAATATAAGAAGATTAAAAAAATTATTAAATTACTTTAAAGTATTTATATTTATTATTATTTTAACCAATTTGTCTTACTTATAAATTAATATACTATCTAATAATACATAGAAGTATTTTAGAGAGATAATATAACATATGTTATAATTAAACAATTCAATAGCTTTCTTATTATTTTTAAATTAATTAATTAGATTTTATATTAAGAATTAGAAGTAATGTATAGATGGAGGGATAATTGGCAAGTGGCGTCTTGGGGGGGTCAGGTGCAAGAACACATAATTAATGAAATACTCTTGGGGGTTAAATCAAAGTTGTGGCTGCTTAAAAGTACCAAAAGGACAGAGAGATTCCTTCTTTTTCAATTTTAATTTTTTAATTCCCAAAGAAAAATTCAACATGTTTATCGGGAGTATAACATTTTAAAAACAAAAGTTTGGCCAAATAAAAAACATTTTAAAAAACAAAAGAAACGGAGAAAACGGGGGTTAGGAGGGTTTCACGTGGGTGGACCGTAGATGCACCCCGCAACCGGTCTTCGTCTTTTGAATAGACGTTACATTATTAATATTAAGTAATACCCTCGATCACTAATGTAACTCATCTAAAGATAATTTGTCCAATTAGTATGAGAATAAAAAAATAACCATTGTGATAGATAAAGGATATTTGGATACTTTATATTTATAAATAAAATAAAATGACAAATTAAATGTAGAAAAGGAAATAAAACAATAGGAGCAAAATATACATGTCCCATGATGCCATTACCATGTCAACTCATTGTTATGAGCCGTTCCCAAGATTATAGCAAATCATATTTTTACCAGTAATTGCTTATTTTTCTAACTTCATACACACACAAACCCCTAGACTCTAAATGCGAATACGGGATAACTAATACTACCTCCGGTCCTAATTATAAGAGCCAGTTGACTAATTTGAGAAGATTAAGGAAGTAAGTTGAGTTAGTTATTTGTCCTAAATAAGTGTTGTTTTTCCTAAAATATCCTTACTAATAAGTGTATTGACTAGAAGTATCATTGTTAGAAGAGTTATTTTGGAAAAAAAAATGTATAAATATGAGAGACAAAGTGGATTGGGGTCTTATATTTAGGACCAAAATAAAAGTCAAATAGGATGTTATATTAAAGACCGGAGGTAGTATGTATGAAGACATTAGATAAATTACTTAAATTATTTATTTATTTTATAATAATTGTCGGCTTGTTTTACTAAAATGCCCATTTTAACTGTTATTCTCATTGAGAGAACCCTCATTTAATATAGGCAATCGATATTTACAAATTCATAGTACAAAGTTTTTTTTTTTTGGCCAAAAGAATACAAAGTGCATTGAGATTTTGCATTTAATATTATTAAAACAAACCTCTCAATTAACTTATATATTTAAAACAGGAGAGAGTATTATCTTTTATTCTTATTGTGACGATATTTTTTCATATATCATAAATAATATACTGTTTAAGCCTAAAATAACTAGTTTCTTTTGCTAGTAAATGTTATTTGCTTTGATTTTTTTTTCCTAATTATGCAATCTATAAGTCATAACTAGTTAAACAGCCCTCTCTTGTTAATTAATTTAATTGACAATATTATTTTTAAAATTTTAAACACATACACATATAAGTTGCCAAATAATTTTTTGTAGTAATAAAGAGGAAAGGGAGCGCAGCGTGTGATAAGAAAAAGTGAAAAACTGATACAAAGATGATGATAAATGTTTTTTTTTTAACCTTGCACTATAAAGTTGACTTTGAATATGTGATTGAAGTAACATTAGCTGTTAATATTTAAACATACCCACTAGTTACGCAAATTACTAGTATTCTAATTCTAATTGGAGTGACATTATTCTCCCTAACATACATTTTCAACAGTCTCAACGCTGATGCTGGCCAAACGAAAAAAATAATCCTCAAAGTACACTTACAGGTTGTGCAAATTTATTATTATTATTTTTGGCATAACTCACGCTCATTATTATACTTTTTATCAAGAGTTTAAATTCATAATCTCATATTTAAAAAATTTTAAGAGAGTTACAAGCCTCGCACAAATATATTATCACTATCCTATTAATTAGTATGCAACTTGTTAATTTCCCGGAGGAAAAAAGATGCTTGCTGAACTGCCCCGTTGGGGTGGCTTCCATGCCCCATGTTAACGAGACAGCGATGCGTGCCATTTCAAATTATTGAGTTCATAAAATAATTTAATTAAAGAGCTTTTTTTTTTTTTAACCAACAAAGAGCTAATTAGTAATTAGAATACGTGAGTCCTTGTTCTTGCTGAAATGATAGAGAGCACTTAAATAAAAACCGCAAGAAAAGAATAAAATAAAAATTTAGCATGAGAAACCTTTTATATCATATTACCTTCGATCTTTAATACAAGAGCTAGTTAACTAATTTAAGTAAATTAAAAAATTAGTTAAACGTTATTTTTTAAAATATTATTGTCAATCATGTGTATTAACTAAAATTGTCATTTCATAAAACCTTTACTGTGTGCAATTACTATAATTATTATCTTAAAAAAATAGATAAAT